TGCAGCTGCTAATTAAGACTGGGTAAGGGAGGCAAAATCAGACCTGTTGAGAGTATAATGAAAAGATTAGTTTCCTGTATAGTGTGAAGCTAGCTAAGAATTTCAAAGCTTAGGAAATCATATTGATGTATTAAGGATGTTTTATCGCTTGGGACACTTGTGTAGGGTTGGCTTCTGAATGCTAATATATAAACATGCCTCACGGTAGGCAATCAACATACAGGAGCTGGAGCCTTGCCGGAGGAAGGTCCAGGTAAGCACAGAATATTTTAAATCCATCTCGCTGGCAAAGAGGAGACCATCGCGGGTGTGAAGGGAACAGCTAGCCTTCCTCTCTGGTGTTACTATCCGTATTGAAATGTGTGTGCGACAGAGCACCTTAGTGCCTGTCACTTCAAGGGCTGGGCCAGGGAGAGGGCAGGTGCCTGATTAGGGTGGCCATTTAATCTCTGGGCTGAGGGGAGCAGTTTGAGACCAGCCGGCAAGGAAGAAAGAAACATCTCCCTGCTGAGCTCCGGCTCCAGGAACACCTTGGAGGTAAAGGGGAGGCTATGGGGGAGGAGGAGGCCTCAGTGGTCCTGGGTATGACCTAAAACTGCACCCAGCAGGCGAAGGACGGCTTGGTGGGGCTCCTGGTGGTGCAGGAGTCCCCAAAAAATGCCGGGCCAGTTGCCTCCCCAGTGAAAGGTGGGGAAAGGTGCCTAAACCCTAGCTGCTCCATACAGTCGGTTTTTATTTAGAGCTGGTGGGCCAGGCACATCAAGGCAGGGACCTGAGCCTACGGGGGTGCTAGGGATAGAGGATCCTAGAGAGTCCAAGTGCATGAACATTGCATGCCTCCCAAGGCTGGGGGGGCATGGCGACCACCTGCAGGCGACAGTGGCAGCGTTGGTGGTGGAGCCGTGGTGGGGGTGAGTGGGGAGCTTCCTCAGGCGGCTGCAGTGTTGCCAGTGGCAGGGGTGGGCCAAGTGGGGAGCTCCCACAGGTGGCTGCAGCAGTGTTGGCGGGGCCATGGTGGCGGTGAGCGGGGAGCTCCCGCGGGCAGCTGCGGTGGTGTCAGATGAGGGCATGAGAGAGGCCCAAAAGGCTGCATGCCTGCTGGCCAAGGAGAGCAGGAGATTAAACCTGATGGGCCTATGGGGTTGCTCAGGGAGCAAAGGCGGGGTGTGTGTGGCCCAAGAGGGGCAGTATGGGAGAGAGACCCTGGTGAGAGCAGGGAGAGTGAAAGAGGCCCCTGTGAGAGGGGGGCTGTATGCATGAGGCCTGTAACCGGGTAGAATGAAAGAGGCTGAACTGTGGGTGAGTTTAGTGGCCTTGAGCCAGAGCCATTAGGAATTATGATTGCATTTGCAAGGCATGGGCCACAGTGTAGGGAAGGTACGGAGCAGTGGATAGCACCCCCTGGCATCGGGGCATGTAAAGGGCAGCCTCCTGCATTTTCCACCAGATTATTTTAAGAGCAAAGTCATGGCAGGCGAGGCTGGGCAGACTGCTCCATAGACAGGTGGGCAGGCTGGCTTAAGACTTGGCCCCGAGTGTGCCCCCTGTCACAGTGTGCCACCCTGGGTGAGTTTCTTTACTCCTCTGCTCTGTGTTGTGATCTGTGTGGGTGCAGCCTCTGCCCATGCCAACCTCCATTCTGGTGTGAGCAAGGGGCTTTTGAAACGCATGCCAGATGGCTCCATTTCACTTAAGGGTTTTTTCTTCACTGCTGCCTAATAAAAGGCAGAGTAACTAACTCATCCCTTTGCTAGCCTGTTGTGAAATACCAGCAGAGACCAGACACCACCGTTTTACCGTGGGGTAAACTAGACCACATCATTCCTGGGTGAGGAGGGTGGATAGGACTGACCTTGTATTGTTATTTTGCCCCAGTGGGGATGATAACTAATGCATGAAAATTATTTCTCAGAGGGCAGGGGGAAAAACTCCACACACGCAATTTTTTGGCTGTGAAGTCTAAGGAGATATTCCTGGCCACACTTCCATAGTTTCATATAAACTCTCATTTCTTTATGGGGGGAAGGGAAAGCGATGGGAAGGGCTTGTTGGGATCACCATGGGGTTGACTACTGGGAGACCGGCCTGAGCCTAAGGGGGTGCAAGTGGCACGGTTTTGGGGTGACTGTGCCCAAGTGGAGAGAGGGGTGGGGAACAGGGGGCGGGGGCTGTGGAGGCTGTTTTACATGCGCCTCCTGCTGTAATTCATTAGGAAAGACATTGCTGGGGGTAGGTTGGTATTTGCCTCCCCCTTCTGGAATCTGCTAGGAGTTGCACACAAAATTTAAGTTGTCCGAAAACAGCTGGCGTACAAACGCAAGCTTGATGCACCAAAATAACCTGGGTAAAAATGTATAAGGCGCAGCAAATTAACGAGGATAAAATGCCAAGGTGTGTACAAACACCCATAGTTGTAAGGGGCGGGAAGGGACCTTATAGATCATTGGGTCCAGCCCCAGGCTGAACAGTCCCAAGTCTTTCAGCCTCTCCTTGTATTTCCCCGAACTTGTAGACAAAGTAAGAATTTGCACAGCTTTCTAAATAAGGCACACAGCATTTATAAGTGCTTCTTTCTAACTCAACCTCTTTCTTGGGAGGCTTTTATTGTAATTGGTGGTGGATCTGTAAGATGCCAACATAAAACGCCATGTTGGTAATGTATGGGATGGCATCTTCCTTCCTAACCCTTGCTCCCATCTTGCAGTCTTTGGGGTATTTTCCTGGAGAGAGGATGTCATAGGGACAGCTGTGTTAGGGAATCCCCCTGTTTTTGGAGATCATCTAGGTATTTCCTGAACCATTTGGTCTCTTGCTGATAAAAGCAAAGCAGTAGTTGCTCTCCCCAGTCAGCGTGTTGCTTCACGACCGGCTGTATTGTCTAAAATTTTGACAATTAAAGCAATTCTTTATTGGTAACTCAAGTTGTGTACTTGAGAGGCTTGTCTGGTGTCTTATGGTCGGCTGGCTTATCTTCTAATTAACTGTCGATCAAATCTCTTTGATCGGAAGAACAATGGCTCATGAGATGCAGAGTCACCGCTCTGTCCAGGTAATTCACAGTAATCCAAATTGTCTCGCTCACTAGGCTGGAGCTAATTTGAATTGAGTCTGCAGGCTGCTGTTGGGCTCTTCTCTCTGCTAAACTTGTTGATTTGCATTCCAGCGGGATATCGGAGGAGATAATAGGATCGGGGAGGAAAGTGGATTTTACTTTGTTCTCTAGTGGGGGATGATGTCATCCTCCAAACCAAAGACAATGGCAGGTGGTAATTATTCTGCAGAGGGGAAGGTGGGAGGGAGGAGGAGGCAGCTTCTCATCTGGACCAGGGCCAGGATCACGCCTTTTAGAAATGTCATATATAAAATGATGGGATCTTCTCTGCCAAGCTGTTTCTCAAGGGAGAGTGTCTCTAAATAACTATTTCACTTATCCATTTCCCAGAGTTGCAGATGTCTCTCTCTCTCTCTGCATTTGAGCTGCTCACTGCCTTACCCTACAAACAGTGGGATGTCTGCCATCCCTCCCATAAGTCATCCTGGAGAATGGAGAGCAAGCCTTGTCCTGTGAAATCCTTAGTGAAGTGGTAATGTCGATAAAGCCCAGGTTGGGTTTGATGTCCCGCTTGCTCCACTTTCTTCCACTTGCTGCTAGATGCAGTTTCATGATGGTAAGTAGGGTTCATTCATAACCAATTAGTTCTTAGATCTGATGCATCAGGAGGTGGGATGGAGCCATCTACGGCACGTTGTACTTGCATCTGGGACATGCTTGTGGCAGCTATTATTAACCCTTTATGTTGTGAATAAGTGAACCCTTAATGCCAAGAGTGGCCTGTCCCTTTGAGAATCAAAGGAAAAAGTCACGACCATAAAATGTGACGTCGCTTTAGCCATGTGGAGACAAATGGAGCTCCTCTGGCTCTTCTGTTTTTTTATTTTTCTGTGCAACCGTTCTCCACACTTCCTCGACCCCTTGGCCTCTGCAAAGGGAGCAACATGGAGCTGATGCCATTCGTGTATGTGCCATGAACAGCCTACTTCAGTCTGTCACATTCGAGAAGGGATGATAACGTCAGTCAAGAGGTGGGACAACTGGCAATTGGGGAAAAACTGATTTAATCACTTTTTAAAAATGTCAGGCAGCCCCTTAACTCCCTATTAATTCATATGATGTCCCCATTATCAGCATATCTGAGAGCTTTCTGGCATGCTTGCTTGACTGTGTAGTATGAATATCTAAAATGTGATCTTTTCTTATCCAGACTTCTCACCAGAGCAGAGCTGTGGTCTTACTTGGTGCCAAACAAAAACATATTGAACCCAACAGGATGGGGAGGAGCAAAGGGAAAAGGTTCTTCCTTCTTTTCAAAGGAGTCTAGCTAGTTTATAAATTAATGTACTTGATGCTGTGCTTGCCCTTTCCAATCATTTTATTTCAGAGCTGGAGAAACTGGAGCTTTTAAGAGGTTCTTTTCACGGCGCCCAGGGGATAAGTGTGGTAGCAACTCTGCTGTAGTTTTTCATCTTGAGCTAATATTAAATGCTAGTTATGATCATTATTGGCTAGTAGCTATCTCAGCATCTGTAATCATTTCGGCTTCATCCCCTGGATGGAACATTTTAATGTCTCCACCTAAGGTTGACCCTAACTATCAGCATAGGTAGAGACTGCAATTTAATCCCAGGGGACTATGGCTGACTGCTGCAAATGGTGAATGGGTTGATATACGACTGCTGACTTTGGCTCCCAGATGCAAAACAAATTCTCCTTTTAAACTTGCCCACCAGCTTACTGCTCGCATCGCTGCAAAACATGCTCTTAAAGTAGCTGGAACTGTTTCCATTGCAAACTCACCAGTCAGCCTTAGCTGTTGCAGAGTTGTTACCTTTCTGGGCCTACCTACCTGCCCCAGCTGTGGTCAAGCAATCGATGCTTTAGTGGAAGATGTAAATATCCCTACAGGAGGTCGTGATGGCGGTGAGAGGATATGTAAGGGAAGTTTCTTCATAAGCCCCATAAATTTGGAGGCTGGCTTATGATCTGAAATTGTTTCTGTCTCTAGTGCATAATAAAGGTTTCCCCAGTACCAAGGAAAAAGAAAACGTTGGCTGTAGACGCCCTTGATTTAAACTTGGAAGAGGGAGGGACGAACGTCTCTTAGGAAGGAGCTTTCCAAATTCAAACCAGACTGTAAAAGTTCCTAAATCTTTGTGTCACACCCGAGAGCCTTGGGACGGCCCGGTGCACGTACTCGCTAAGCGCTGATTGCCTTCTGGCTTCTGCAAGTTGGCCTTGCCAGTGGAGATAATATAGCGCAGTCTGTGTTTGAAAGGCACTGTTTGCGGTGGAGGCAGACGCTGTTGTTGGAATGAAGCCCAGTCAGCTACGAGGCTCCTGTAGACAAATGTTTGTCCACTTTTCACAATTTTCGTGTTAGGTAAAGATGTTTACATTCGTTCTACCTCAAGGCTCCCTTCCTTAATTGGGCCTGCGCTGCGCAGACTTCAGACGGTCGCGTTGCAAAATACGTTTGAGGTGGCATGTTGCACTGTAAAGCCAATGGCTAAGGGTAGTCGGGTGAAGCAACGTCACCTCTAGAGATCCTGTCTGGATTAGCAGCAGGGTTTAATTGCAAGGAGCTGACACAATGCTGAATGCGGTTTGGCTTGAGCTAACGTGACAGCCAGGATCATGTCAGCTAATTCATCGAATCACAGAAGTCGGGTCGGACAGGACCTTGTAGATCTGCTTGAGATGCACCTGTGGATGCACGACAAGGTGCGGTTAGCCCTGCCAACCGTGACCTCGCATTGTCGGCCCATGTTCATCTTGGAGTCAATAATGACTCCCAGATCCCTTTCTGCCTCCGTGCTCTCAAGAAGGGAGTTTCCCATCTTATAAGTGTGCTGCTGGTTACTACTGCCCAAGTGCAGCACCCTGCACTTGTCAGTGTTGAAGCGCATCCTGTTTTTGTCAGCCCACCCCTGCAACCTATCCAGTCTTTCTAGTGTGCTCACCTCACCCCAAATTGTGGTATCATCAGCAAATTTAAACAGGTTGCTTTTCACCCCATCGTCCAAATCACTGATAAAGAGATTGGACAGCACAGGCTCAAGGTCCAAGCCCTGGGGGACTCCACTGCCCACTTCTCCCCAGGTTGAATATGACCTGTCCATCACCACCCTCTGCGTGCGACCCTTCAGCCAATCTGCAATCCATCTGACTGTGTAGGCATCACTGCCACAGTCGCCCAATGAGGATAAGGAAGGGGTGGGAGACGGTGTCAAAGGCCTTGCTGAAGTCCAGAAAGACTACGTCCACAGCGACACCTGCATCCATGACCTTTGTGACCTGCTCATAAAAGACAATCAAGTTGGTCTGACATACCTGCCCCTAACGAAACCGTGCTGGTTGCCCTCG